CAAGGTAGCTTCCAGTTTAAAGCCTTACTTGCAATAACCATATAAAGTACCTGAAAGAAAAAAATATCAATTGTTACAGTCAGATGACTAGAAAAAGCATGAGGCGCCCATGATCTCAATGTTCTTTGCAAATTGCAAAGACATGCATGCAGCGGTATTGCCAATTTCATTTCCACTTGACAAGATTACGATCCATGGAAACATACAACAGTAATGCAAGGCAGTTTTGAGAGCTCATATTTCTATGATTAATAATCTTTATCATTACAATTGTGTCACATAACACTTACTTGCAAAAATATACATGTGTCCAACATAGTATTTGTCAAGTCATACAACGACATTATATTTCATGGGCACCAAACGCTTTTTTTTAGTCATATGACTGTAACAATTCTGAAGATTTGGGGAATATTTATTTTATACTTTTAAGTACCTGTACATTGTACATTTTTTAAAAAAGTATTATTTTATATTGTTTTATTACATATCTGGAAATTTGTCAACGGAAAATTGATTGACGGAAGTTTGGTCGAATAAAAATTTGATCGAATGATATTTTCTGTTCAAAAGATCAAATTTTGCGTCAAATTTCTTTCAGAACGCATTATTTTGTTTTCAAAATAAGTATAAGTATAAGGCCCTCAAGACCTAGGGAATTATTATTTGTGAATTTAATTTAATTAAATTTATATTATTAATGTGCTAAGTCTAAGTGTTATACTTTTACTGTCAGACTTAAACTTCAATCAATGATTCATTCGGGTCTAGTCTAAATCAACCTATCCCGATGTTATATAATATGATTAATTAAGTTTTTAAAATTTATTTGAATACATATAATTATAATATAAAATATAAATATTTAATATATTTTCATATAATAATAAATACTAAAAGGCAGGTTAGAACTAAATGATTAATTACAAAAATTTAATGCCAAATAATAGTGAGCAAATGGTATATGTAGACTTTATCCATACAAGATTTTGATTTAATCTAATTTCTTCTATTTTATAAATTTTAATACCGGTATTGTAGTATGAGTATGCTATTAAATATTTGCTGGTAGCCTAACGAGCCTATCCGGACCAAAGCCTCCAAAACTCGGCAAAACTAAATACCATTATATACCAAAAACACCAACAGACACTTAAATAGTAGGAAATCCGGAGAGATTGTTTTACAAGGTTAACGTTACAATTTTCAATAAATATACAATATTTTTGGATCTGATCTAGGATCTCATTAATACATAATAAAGCTTAATGTTATAGAAATTGATAAAAGATCTGATGTAAATGGGTTTTAAGCAAATTTTAATTACTTTCTAACAAAGACTATGGAAATATAAAAAAAGGAACACTGAGGAATAAGGAAGGGAAATCTTGAAAAAAAAAAAAAAAAAAAAAAAAAAAAAAGAAAAAAAACAAAAAAAAAAAAAAAATTTTAAACAAAAAATATAAAAAAAAAAAAAAAAAAAAATGTTTTAAAAAAATTTTAATTAATTCAAAAAAAAAACAAAGGAAAAAAAAAAAAAGGAAAACAGAAAAAAAAGGAAGGAAAAAATTAAAAAAAAAAAAAAAAAAAAAAGCAATAGAGGACAACAAACAAAATCAAAAAGCATTTTTTCAGCGAACTATTTAAAAAAAAATATTTAAAAAATGAGGTGCTATGGGTTTAGTTGAAAGGTAGTGGGTAAGGGAGAAAAAGAATGTGGTCTTGTGAGAGTCAGTGGGGGATTTATAGAAATGTTCAGTTCAGATTTATAGAAATGTTCAGTTCAGATTTATAGAAATGTTCGGATTTGTTAGAAATGAAAAGGGATTGAAAAATCTCTGAGAAGGTTGTTGCTTGAATGGGAGAGTTGGAGTTGAGATGGATGAAGAGATCCATTTAAAGGAATTAGGCATGGAAGTCGGGGGATATGGTAGGAGGTGGTGAAATGGTTGGGCGCTGTTGGGGGCAAAGGAAAAGAAAGTGGGAGAAGAAGATGAGGTAAGAAGAGAGTAGATAGGGAATATAGTGATAGGGGAGTTTATTGATTTGAGTTTGGAGGAAAGGGGGATATTGTTTGTTTGGGAAGCATGGGTTGGGGTAGAGGATGATGATAAGTAGGGAGAGCAGGGAGGATTTGAGATATTGTATTGGAGATATTATTAAATCTGCATCATTGATTAAAAGAATCAAGAGGAGCGTTAAGAGTAAACACCATACCACTGCCCAATCACAATCCCCAATTCATGTTGCTTAACTTCTTAACTTACAAACAAAAACAAAAAGAAATGATTATATATATAAAAAAAATATTTATAATTAAAAGCATTAAAAGGGTAATATAATGAAGGACTGCGTCCAAGCCGTGTGAAGTAAGTAAATTATTACTAAATAGTGGAAGAAGATATGTTTAGCTTACTTAGGCTTGAAAAAACAGGGAACTTGCATTTTGGAATTTTACACACAAAAATTAGACTTTATTGACATGGGGTGGGTTGATAAGCTAAATTTTGTGTTAACTATATACAAATTGCAAAAATAGTCAAATGGAAAAAAATATAAAAAAAAAAAACAACCTCTTTCTGTTAATTTTTGACGGGGCATTACTAGTTACTATCTAAAATAAAATAACAATTGAGAATTATACACCGGAAAAAGTAACTCAAGTTGCTTCCCTTGGACCTTGTAAACAAATGGACTAAAACTAGTAGTTTCCGATAGTTTGAAAAAGAAGTGTTATTTTGTGAAATTATCTTAATTTCCAGATTCTTTGATAACATTCTATTTTTCTAAAAAATATTTCAATATTAATAAATATGGCTAAGGCGTCAAATCTGTTCACGACGAGCGTTCAAATGCGTTTACAGACTTTTTACAGCTCCCCTCTTCCTGCCAAAAGTAATAGTAGCATTTCCAATTCTTCATTGAAATTTGCAGAAGCCGGATTTATTCGTCCTCACAAAGAAGGGGAAGATCTTACCGATCAAGTTGAATGCAGTTCATGTGGAGTTAAATTTGAAGGATGGGATGGAGAATCTCCTTTGACTGTACATCGAACATTAAATCCGAATTGCCCTTTTCTCAACACTCCACCAGCTTCATCAACAACATTATTTTCACAGCAGCAAAATGCATCAAATGAGCATATTAACCACAAAAATGCGTTGGATTCATTTAGAAGGCAGCTATTCCATGACACTGAGACAGATTCACCATCTATGTCAAGTATTTTAAATGTTCCTGACTTTGAGCAGCCGTTTCTTCCCAAGAAAGGTGGATTTTTAATGCTCTTTGAAAGTCATAGATTACTTACTTTCAAGAACTATTTTTCAACAGAAGCAGCCATGTATGCTGAAGCAGGATTTATCTATGATGCTGCTAGTAGGGGAGTAATATGTGTTTTTTGTGACATAGGATTTGACATGCAAACAAAGAATGTGTCAATCTTAGAATCAATGCATTTGGAAAAATCGCCTCTTTGCCCATTTATGCGGTTGTATGATGTTGGTAACATTTCTATTGATTCTGAAAGGAAGATACGTACAAAGGTTATTGCGCAACACCTAAATAATATTAAAAGCACCAAAGTAAGTGACATAAAAATGAAATGTGTTATCAAACATCCTGAATTTGAAGATGAAATTGCTCGTTTGGGAACATTTAAAACATGGCCTAAATTACTGGCAACAGTATTTTCCGCCAAAGTGATGGCAGATGCAGGATTTTACTATTCAGGTTAGCTAAAGAATTATTTTTTCTGTAAACTTTTGAGATTCATTAATATATCACAGCGTTTCCATAAATTGCTAAAATAATAAATTACACTTTACACTAAATTATTGAAATAAGGAATAATTTAGCTATAAATTAAATTATCCATGTCCTGGTTATCATTTAAACTAAGTACAATACTACTGTCATCAATTTTTGTGTCCATATAAGAAAATATAAATCATCTTTCTCATCAAATCATATCTAATAGTAGTAATAGCCTATAGCCTATAATGTTTCTCTTGTTATAGAGAAGCCATGTTGTTAATTTCATTTTTTAAGCTATGTTTTTTACTTGTGAAGACGATAATTAATGAAAACGATAATTAATGTCTCACAAAGATTATTTGGAAAGCATTGCCAAATTAAATAAGTTTCTTTAAAAATTAATACTTAAATACTTACCTGTTAACATAATGATATTAGGTTTCTTTCTGTATTTAAAAAATAATAACACGAGGCACACGGTTTTTGATAATTTATGACTGCTTTGTTTTGAAATAAATTTTAAAAAGTTTACTAGATAAGACTCTTACTAATTCATGAAACTTCCAGGATACCACAGGATTTAACTGTAACGTGCATAAACTTACATGCCGCTTCTTCAAATTTTGATTCAGTTCATAATGAATAATTTAGAATTATAATTTTATGTGATCTATATTCTATTCATCATTAAATGTCATACCTTCTCAACAGAGCTATGCCTTTGGTGTTCCAATCTTAGTTATTTTTAGAGTGCACTACAATTAAATCATATATTATAATAAACTACTGAAAACCATAAAGTTATATTAAATGTTGTGCTAATACTAAATAACAAGATATAAAGATTTTTGTTATCTTCTTATACTACTTTGTCAAGAGCTTTGAGAAGTCACTTTCTTGCTGAAGACCTCTATAATGAATAAGCTCCCCTTGCTGATAAGCTAGCTGTATGTATAATACAAAAATTCCTTAGATGTAATTATTAAATTACTGAATAAGTTTCCCAATAGCTTTGAACAAATTTTTTAAGAGACCAACTTAACTCCTATTTTTTTTTTTTTTTTTTTTTCAGGCTTTATGGACAAGGTGAAATGTTATGCTTGTGGTGTGGGCTTGTTCAACTGGTCCCCATGTATGTATAATACAAAAATTCCTTAGATGTAATTATTAAATTACTGAATAAGTTTCCCAATAGCTTTGAACAAATTTTTTAAGAGACCAACTTAACTCCTATTTTTTTTTTTTTTTCTGTTTCAGGCTTTATGGACAAGGTGAAATGTTATGCTTGTGGTGTGGGCTTGTTCAACTGGTCACCAGAAGTTGATCCTCTGACACAGCACGCCAAGGCTTCACCTCATTGCGTATTTCTAATTCAGACTCACGGAAAGGAATACATTGAACAAGCACAAAGTGAAGCAGTATGTTGATTCCTTGTTTAAACATGTCTTTTCAAAGTAACTGTATTATTTTGTCCCTTAATACTTAAGAGCAATAAGACTTTTACTAGCAAGGAGTTTAAAAGATTGTTTATTTTATTTTTTTGATAATACAGCTGATTGCACAAGCAGATTATGAAGATGCCACACAATCTCAAGGTAAGTAATGCTTATACTTATAATAAAATTTTAAAATGATGGATAGTATAAGGGCTTGCTTAATAAAATTTAATTGGATACGTCTCATACATTTCAACTTGCTTAGACATGAATAGGATAATAAATAGTAAGAAATGTGAGGCGAATTAAGAATAGCAACTGAAGACTCACACAACATGCCTAGATTTTGTATCTGTCAAATGTTATGACCTGACAAATTAGTTTGAAGCAAACTTTAAACTGTCAACTTTTTGCATACTTTTCATTATCAATTTAGGCAGCACACTGTTTAGCAAAAGTTGTCTTTACAACATAAAAGCTTTGCACATAAAACTAAGTGACAAAAAACTGATTTAAAATCAATATTTACAACGTTGATGAAATGTATTAAAAATACATTCAATATATCCACAGTTTCATGAATGCTAAAACGTGTGTGGGAAGCAGACACACAGTATTTATATCTTTAAAGTCAATAGTGAACATGAAAGCTCTTAAATACAGTTAGATATGTTTAAAAATTGGCTCAGTTTTACATACATTATAAGTACATTCTTCTAAATACTTCACAGAACAAGTTGCAGCATCATCTAATGACTCCAGTTTGTCGTCATCATCATCCAGAACAGCAGCAACATCATCACCCGATTCATCCACATCGTCATGGTCATTGCTAACATCGTCTCCAGGATCCTTGGGGCTGGACATGGAAGCAATGGAGGCAGCCATGGCATGTCAGTACACCCTAGAGCAAATATCTCATGCCGTCACCAAATTCTTTCTATTATCTAGTGAGTCACTCATTCAAAGAAACGCATTTAATTGCCTGTCAGTATCTACACCCTACACACAGTATCTGTACGCTAGCTCACAATGGCCTGCCAGTATCTACACCCTACACACAGAATCTATATACTAGCTCACATTGGCCTGCCAGTACCTACACCCAGTATCTATACACTAGCTCACAATGGCCTGCCAGTATCTACACCCTACACACAGTATCTATACACTAGCTCACAATGGCCTGTCAGTATCTTCACACTAACCCACTTAAACAATAAAAATAAAAAATAACACAAAGTGAAACCAATTATTTGTGAGAGCACAAGGTTCAAGTAAAGAAGAACCAAAAAAAAAAAAAAGAGACCACATTAAAAAAGGGATGGTTGCAATTCTTGTGAGGAATCCTACAATTTTTTCTTGTTTAAATTAGACAACAGGAATAAAATATGTTATTTTGATTAGGAAGTATAAATTAGTGCTTTCAGTTGCCTTATCATAACAAGCAGAATAAATGATTTGTAAAGGGACATTAAGGTATGCAGTTTTGTTTGTAAGAATTTAATAGATTCTGTCTCCTTTAATTCAAAGGCTATATTCATTTAACTGTTAGTTTTGAGAAAACCTTTAGCAGAAAATTATTAATTGAGTTTTTTTTAAAAACCTGCTTAATGCCTGTGAGAATGAATGATAAGGTCTCAATTACAACAAACGTAATCTAAAAAAAGAAAGCTACCTAATGTAAATTTGGTGTTCATTAAAAGATCCAAAATTAGATGTATCCTGTCCTGAATACAGCAGATACTAATTCTAAAGCCTGTTTATTCCTTAGATGGCCACTACCCCACTGCCCCCAATTTAGGCCAGGAGAAGCTTGAAAAGTGGATAACCCACTCATAAGCGGATCCCTCAAATAGTATGTTAGTGTAAGCAATACCGTTTTGAAGAAATGATAATTTTGTTAAATTATCAAGGCTTTTAAAAATAATTACTGTGTTAATAAAGACACAATAAACTAGATTACTGCTGTTTATATTTCAATAATTCTCTATGTATGAAAAATAGTATGGGGTAATGGCCCACAAAATCAAATTCCCAATAATTTCGCAAGGTGCATAATATTTCTCTTGGTTTATGAAATAGTATCAATTTAAATATGGTGTATAAATCTGCTTTATAATAAGGAGTGGGGCAGTATAATATTAATATAGTTCAGGGGCCTGAGAAGAAAAAAATGTGCTCTAAAATACCTGGGGGCAGGGATGTGTGTGTATGTGTGTTAGCTCTAATGGGGATTCTTATTAAGTGCGTTACTTGAATGCATGTTTTGTCAAGTAACTTTTAACACATGGGAAGTTCACGCATCGCCTCTGCCATTGTTTGGCAGGCTATAGCTAGTAAAATATAAAAATCTGACATTTCATTATTCAGTTTGGGTACCGCAGTCACAAAACGAGGACAAAACCTGTGATCCAACTTGCACAAAGCTGTATTGTGACTTTGGTTAATTACTTTTGTCAACAATGTTTTCTATATTTGAATCAGTGACCTAGGGAAGATTGTAAAAACCTCCTATGCTACACTCATAAGCATTCAACCCCTCTTATTATTCCCCTGAAATATTTCCCAAAAAGTCAGCTTTAGAATGAGTAGTTACGGTACATTGCCTTAGAGATAAAAGAGTTACAGCTGGAGGATTTAAAAAATAAATTTATTAATAAAACCTAATCTTATGCTCCTCTGTTTCGACCAGGTGGCAAGTATCCTAACCAAGATTTGTTGGTTGGAATCCTGAAGGCAGCAGATGAAAATCATGTGACAGTTTGTGAGAAGATTCAAGAAATCCACGAGAGCAAAGTCAAAGAGGCAGCATACCAGCAAGAGATTCAGGCCACCAAAACACAGCTCCACGCCAAGGATCAAGAAATTCAAGCCACCAAGTCGGAGCTGCAGCGGACCACTTTTGAACTGCAGTGGCGAGACTTGGAAGTCAGAACTGAACTTGAGCAACAGTTTGTTGGGCAGATCCAGCAGCAGAATGAGGTGAGTGGCTATTTGATAATGAAGCCCCAGTGTTGAATGTTCTCACTTCCAGTCTTCCCGCGGAGACCCTTGGGCCACACCCACCTTCCATTCTCTTTCTTATTCATTATGTTTGTGATTGTTTATGTGGTTTTCATCGTGAATAAATAACACCAATAAGGATTGAGAACATGCAGGGAATGGTGCCTTTTTCTGAACAATTATGAGAAGAGATATCATGCAGGAGTGGTGCCTTTTTTCTGAACTATGGTGAGAAGAAATAACATGCTGGGAATGTTGGCTTTTTCTGAACTATTGTGAGAAGAGATAACATGCAGGGAATGGTGGCTTTTTCTGAACTATTGTGAGAAGAGATATCATGCACGGAATGGTGGCTTTTTCTGAACTATTGTGAGAAGAGATAACATGTGGGGAATAGTGGCTTTTTCTGAACTATTGTGAGAAGAGATAACATGCGGGGAATGGTGGCTTTTTCTGAACTATTGTGAGAAGAGATATCATGCGCGGAATGGTGGCTTTTTCTGAACTATTGTGAGAAGAGATAACATGCACGGAATGGTGGCTTTTTCTGAACTATTGTGAGAAGAGATACAGGCGGGGAATGATGGCTTTTTCTGAACTATTGTGAGAAGAGATAACAGGCGGGGAATGGTGCCTTTTTCTGAACTATTATGAAAAGAGATATCCGAACAGCATAAAAGTCATCCTCAAGGTAATTTCCTCAAAGCAGGGAAAAATGTGGAAAATGCTAAATGGTTGACTAGAAGCGTTGAGTTTCAAGAAGTCTTTACAGAAGTAACACAAGTTTTTGTATAGAAGAACATAAAGATACAAATATAACAAGAACATCCTCTTACAATCAATATATGGAATTATTAATGTCAAATAACTTATGTGCCACTCATCCATGTTCCAAACAGAACATGACTATCAAATAGAACATGACCATCAAAATGACCATCAAACAGAACATGACCATCAAAGTGACCATCAAACAGAACATGACCATCAAATAGAACATGACCATTAAAATGACCATCAAATAGAACATGACCATCAAATAGAACATGACCATCAAATAGAACATGACCATTAAAATGACCATCAAATAGAACATGACCATCAAATAGAACATGACCATCAAACAGAACATGACCATCAAAATGACCATGAAATAGGACATGGCCATTATATAGAACTTGACCATCTAAAAAACAAACGCTTACATGGTTTGTATTGGTTGATCAAACTTTCTGTTAAACAAACAACTTAGCTGAGATGTCACACAACCTTAGATGTCACACAATCTTAGATGTCACACAACCTTAGATGTCACACAACCTTAGATGTCACACAACCTTAGATGTCACACAACCTTAGATGTCACACAACCTTATAAGTTACAGATAAATCTATTTATCTTGGTATTTATGGGCGTAGATAGCACAACACAAACAAAAAAACATAGATCTATATATCTAGTTAAGTTATTTTTGAGACATAGGAGCATTTGCTATATTTGTACACCAAATTTTGTAAATATTTCTCTTTCAATGTACTGTAATAACATCCAATATACAATTCTTATATATGTTTATACATATAGCAAGCGCCAACAGTAGTAGTGCTCAAAAGAAAAAAGGAACATTTCCCTGTTATCTTCTGTAAAGTTTCTTCTTCTATATTTTGAGGACCCACGATCAATGAATTGATCATTCTGGCTCCTATGTTTCAGAGGGATTTGCGATGTTACTGTGCATGGGTTTCAAGGGGATACTTCACTGGTTACAAGGGCTACTCAGCAGTGGTGTTGTGAGCTGGGGGTTGGAAGACAGGAGGCAATATTTTGAGTTTAGCCGCCTCAACTGTTGCTTTTGGAAGCCTGTTCCAGTCCCTTATTGTCTTTGGCAGGAATGAGGAGCTCCTGTACTGAGTTCTTGTTTTTATTAGCCGGAACTGCCTGTAGTGGCCCGGTCGCTGTCTATGGGGGGGGGGGGGGGGG